GTTTAAGGGGTTTTTAATTTTTTTTGGGAAATTTGGGTCTTGTTGGGGGGGGGAATTTTTTTTTGAGAATTTTTTGGGTTTATTTTTGGGGGGTTTTGGGGGAAAAAAAAGAAAAAAATTTGAGATAAAGTGTTTTTTTTTTTTTTTTGGGGGGGGGGGGGGGGTGGGGGGGATATGTTTAGGGGGGATTTGGGGGGGGGGGGGGGGGGGGGGGGAGGTGAGGACGGAGGCGTTTGTACCTTCCTTATAGGGGGTATGAGATGATTTTCCCGGGTTTTCCAATACCAGTTTTCACGGAGAGCGAGATAGAATCGAGTGCAGTTCCTTGGCCAGGGGGAATTATCGGGGGAAGGGTGCCACAGGACCCTCGTCGGCGGTGCGTTTGGCCTCTGGCCTTCTTCTTTTTTTTTGCTGGAGATAACCGTACACAGCAGCAGAGTACCCGCAGGAAAGGACACACCGCCACTGTAGGAGGAGCACTTCGTTGGCGCTTTATTTAGAGGGCCGGAAGACGATACAGCGAGGATGTTGGTGGCAGGCAGCATGGATAGCGCAGGAAGGCAAAACACAACCGTTACGTTGAGAAAGACAGGGCAGGCTGGGTAAAAAAATGGCACCATATGATAACGCGAGGTTTCGGCTACAGCAGTAACAAGCAATAGTTTTGCACACTCCCCAAGGGCAAGGTGTGGTTTTCCCGATAATCTGCATGACTTCACGGGTTTTTTTATAAATCGCATTGGACAGAAGGGAGGGAGGTAGCGGATCTATCTGTCTACAAGTGTAGTCTTCGGCAGGGGCCGGGACATGATGAGCTGTTGCCGTGGGGACTTTTTTTTTTTGCGAGATATTTGATGCCCCTTCTGTCTTGCCTTGTGCTCGGCCCGAGGGACGCGGTGACCAACATACCTACCTCCCGTGTCCTGTCGGGGCGGTTCGTGTTAGTACTTCGGTATTGCTGTTGTGGTAATCTGGTGTTGTGTATGTAGATATGTCGATTGATACAGTAGATGTGTTTGATTGGCGGCATTTCTTCGCCGCCCCCGGCAACCTGATTTTCCTCGTGTGCCCGTCGTTGTTCTATGTTCGGCCAAAGCTCGGTAAGAAATCAATGTGTGGCTACCGATGATGCCCTGGCTGCGTGAGCGTGAAATTGTCGCTCCTTGTTGTGTGCAGCGGGGGGGGGGCGCTGGTCCTTCTTTTTTATTAAGCATTCGTGGTGTCACTGTGTGTGGTCTGTTTGAGAGAGGGAGGGAAGGCAAACGGGTGTAAATTATTTATCTTGCTTCTACCATCATCAGCACATCTGGTTCCCGAGGGGATGGTAGGTGCGTGTGAGACGGACACAGCACGACGTGTCGTCCGCTGTTTTCAGATCAGCGTGCGGCGTAGCTGCAACAAAGGCAGCTTGAAAGCGTCCTCGTCATCGGCAGAACTAGAAACGCGTTCGTGTGTTGCATAAACGAACTGGCGGCGCTTCCAGGGAGAAAGTAATCGGTCTCTGTTTGGTCGTGGAGCTACCAAGGCTACGCCATTTCAGCAGTAATTGGGCAGGATATGCACGTACGTCCTGGCGGTTATGATTTTCGTCCGGTAATTTCGTCGTCCATACGACAACAGCGCCCGACCGATCTCGACACGGCCCACTGCACACGCCGGTTTCTTTCCATCATTTTCTGTACGTGAGACCGGCTGTTCAGATCAGATAAAAACTCAAATATCAACACCATGATGGCATTTCTACGTCAAGGATCGACATGCCGTGATTGGGGCGTGTTTCTCCGAACACACCCACCCGCCGCCGCCCAAAAGTGAGAGGCCAAAACGCGCACACCTCTACTTCATCTTCGACTCATCAGAACTCAAGGGCCTCCCACCAGGGTGCAGATACTGCAAACAACAGCTGCAATGCACGGGACCAAGCTCTCACACAGACTTTCGTTCGCGGTGGTAAGCGGTTTGCGGACCCACCCGTTCCGAAGCGAACGTTTAAGAGCGTTGCGGGAGACCGCTCTCTTTTTTTGGACGACCGAGGCGAACCGGCGAGATACCCCGAAACATGTTAAGTAGGTCGTCGTGTCTCGTTCTTTACCACCCGCTTCGTACAACGCCGTTGTGTGTACATATAAACAACCGAGGGCGCTTGTTGTATCAACACGTTTGCCGCTGTTGCTGTTGTGTTGACGATGTTGCTGTTGCAGCTGAGTCTGCGACCGGTTTGAAGGTGGAAGAATAGTTATCAAAAAGAGAGGCGACACACGCGTCCCATCAAAAACCCCGACGGGCAAAAATGAACTCCAATAGTTCTGACGAACTCAAAACAAAACATCAATCGTAGCATAACATCTCCGCACACGATTGCGAAAAAAATAATCCTTTCAGCGCTCCTGTCTTTCTCACACCTGCACGCGACCACCTCGAGGAATCGATTCCCATACCACTACATTCCGATCGGCTCCGATAGAAACCCTCACCAGAGACACGAGCGCCCCCCAACACCTCAAAAATCGCCCACGCTACAGCAGTACACCCACCAAAAAACACAACTACACTCTCCCCATCAGTTTCGTTCTCCACCCAAGCTCAACTAAAAAACAAAATTATTTATTCCCCGTAGATGAGATGGCGAGCTTCGAGCGCAGCCCCGAGAACCACCATCTCGTCCGACTGCTCGGCAGACGAGATCACCCCCGCCCCGCCCCCGCCTCCGGCCTTCCCGAATATCTTGGAGGCGAAGTCTTGGAGTGCAGGCGTTCGGGAGCAGCCTCCGATCACCAGGACGGCCTTGAGGGCGGAGGCGTCCACTTGGGCCAACTTCAAGGCGCTTTCGCACGGTCCTTCCGCCTGCGGGATACGCGGAGTGTAGATGCCATCGGTCAGGGGAAAAGCAGCAGCAGCGCTACATACGTCGACACGTGTGTACCCATTACAGTGGTGCCGATAATGTGGTCGCTATTTATTTCAGGGTGACCCCAGATCGGACTTCATCAGTTCGGGAGGCAAGGCCGTGCTGTGGGGGGGGGATGCACTCATGTTTCGCATGCCTTAGTTGTTAAAAACCATTGACCATGCGGTAGGTAGAAATCTGCGAGGCGGATAAATAAATGGGGCAACGGAAAATGACGTCGTAGAGACTTTTTGTATTCATTTCTGTGTGTGGACCCAGCACTTGTTTTCGAGCAAGACAAGGCATGGCCCAACTCCCAAACCCGGGGAACGAGAGAGAAAAGAGAGGGAGAGAAAGAAAGAGAGAGAGAGAGAGAGAGAGAGAGAGAGAGAGAGAGAGAGAGAGAGAGAGAGAGCAATCGGGAAAACGACACAAAAACACGGTGCACCCGTGCGGCTACAGCCTCCCCTCCCAGATACACGAACAAGAGACAGAGCCCCGAGAAGGCGGCACGAGCTACATCAAGCCCGGTCAGTCTTCAACACGTGCGTTCGTTCCATTTACGACATCTCGTCCGTCCAACACCCGCAGATGGCGCACCACCACCGACCACGCACGCTCAGCGGCAGGGAGTATTTAGCGCACTAGCAGCGACGGTAGCACCGCGGAGTTGAGTTTAGCGTGTCCACGTGCCTCTCCTGACCTAAGGTACAAAAACTCACGTGTAACCGCACGAGTACCGTTCTCAGAAGGGGTGCTTCAGATGCCGCCGCCCACTACGTACCTAGTTAATACCTGAAACCCCAAAAGAACCCTTGGCCGAGCCCTATCCATGTTCGCTAGAGTAAATACTCCACCGGACACTCCTTACCGATCTCGTGGAACCGAGGGGCCTAGGGCAGGTTATCGGAATGGAAAACTAAAAATCAACCTGGAAACGCTTGTTGTTAGCGCGCGCACATACGTCTCACCACGACAAATGGGGGGACTTTTGTGCCGTAATGAAAAGAAGTAGGTCGAAATACACACACACACACACACACACACATGACAATTGCATTATCGTCGTGTACATCGCCATTGGACGGACAGGATAAGCGCATGCATACCGTACCTTTCTCAGGAGGGGCTCGATGATGCGGTCCACCCTCGCCCTCGTCAGCATCACGTCCAGGTGCTTGGGCCCCGTCTGGTCCGCGGTGATGTACGGGATGTTCACGTGGGACTGCTGCGCGCGAGTCAGCTCCACGCGGGCGGCGGTCGCGGCATCGAAGAGCCTTTTTCCAAAACCCAAACAACCAAGTAGCATGCAGGCAACACAGAAAAAAAAAAAAAAAAAAGCCGGCGTGCGTGTACGGGTCAAAACCACACGAAAAAAAGGGGGGGTGAAACAAGGCATTTGTAGACAACATTGAATCGCCGGAATATATGCGTACGACTCAAAACGAGATTTAGACGAGAGGAAGAAAGATTCCACGGAGGGGACGGGGGGGAGGGCGTAGATATCGTAAAAAAAAAAAACATCGACGGGGAAGATACGCACAAGGCATGGGGAGAGGGGGGTCACGTTTGCTGTCCAAGCCTAAATCTGCGTCTCCCAACGACATCGAGGGGCCAAAACGTTAACGAAGTCAGGGACGCGGAGTCCTCTCCGCCCATAGGCACACCATTTCCACTCTGCCAAAGAATAACTCCCACATACAAAATATTTTGCCGCCAAAAGCACGATCTCGTGTACGCAATAGACGGCCTGTGACACCTGCATACAGAACGGCATAATGTATTTGATGCGCTGGCTGAGAAAACGCGACATAAGCCCTCACCTTGTGAGAGCCATGGCGTCGCCCTTGAGACTCAGGCCTCCGTTCGCCTTTTGGAACTCCTCGTCCAGCAGGTCTACGATGCCAACATCCCATTGGTCGCCCCCTGTTTCCGCAGTCCAATCAGATCCCACCATCTTCGGTCGATCACCCTGCTCAGCACAAGAGCAGACGAGAACAGCAGTGGGAACACGTAGAATTGATGCCATGATGTCCGCGCTGCTAACATCTATACAAAATATAAAGAAACAGTAATACTCCTCCAGCGTTGTGTAGGCATCAAACAAGACGCACTGCTTGTATCAGTGAGATAAGAAGTAGGTAACGCAGTGCCAAATACACTGGCAGAAAAACTGCTTCCAGTCTACCACAGCCGGCCGCTATGGATCACAAAACAAACTCGCATCATCATCATCCGACCACAACTCCGACCATCCAATCCACAGACACATCAAAGAGTCGAGAGGAAGCAGGTGATACCGTGGCCACAAGCGAGCTTGGGTCACAGAAAAACACGTTCAAACCAAAAAAAAAAAAATGCCGTGCAGCGATCGATTGATCGATGGATCCCCTTCCATGCCTACCTCGGCAGTACCGGCCGTATCGATGATGCTGCACTGGGCGGATCGCCCGCCGACGTCCAACACACCAACCAGGCCTCCGGCGTCGTCGCCCTTGGGCAGAAGGGACATGTCCTCGGCTGCCATCACGGCCGCCTGTTGTAACGGAAACGAACGGTAGCGCATCGAAGCGAGCGCAATAGCGAAGACGTGTTTTTATTTTATTTTTTATCTATTTAGGAACGGATCCATTGCAGCTGCCTGAGTATAACGCGGAAAGCATCGAAGCGAACGCGTCAAGAACATGTTGTGCGTGAATTTTTTGCTGCGAAGTCCATAACTTCAACGGGTTCGTGCGTCGGTTTAATCGCAACGTCACCAGACACAACAACTCACGCGGGAAGGAAAGGGACAAGCTCGTGCTGCCATCATCGCAGGCCACACCCTGGAGGCAACAACATCATCGCGTGACTCATGCTTGTCTTGGCGAAAGACGTAAAACGTTCACCACAAGTCCGCGAAAACGGGCCTCTGCGACAAAGGTCTAACCTGGCCACACACCGAACGCACCACAAGCGCCAAGAGACACCTAACGGCAGGCTAAACAGTGGGCAAGCGTACCACGGGCTCGTCGATCGTGTCGAGCACCACAAGGCCGGCGTCCCCGCCTGCCGCGGCCATCACGTCCCGTTGGTCGTCGCTGAAATAAGCCGGGCACGACAACACGGCTGCGCCTCCCGCTTTCACCTTCACAAACGATTCGTCGGCACGCAATTGAGCACCACCCATGAGATACATCCGTCACAAATAACATCGTCAACACGTGGTTTCAAGTGGCAAGCCTTTTGTTGGAGAAGCACGCCTGGTTTTTTCCCGGTCAGAAGCCCACCAAATCTCAGAACCACAGTTCGAGGCATTCTTCGTACCCCCCTGCGTGACCACCAAAACATCCGCCGTTTCCCACCACCACTAACATCGCCACCACCACCATCACCAAGCCCCACGGCTACACCCTCATCGCCATCCTCCGCCCCGCCCCGCCACTACCCTTCTCGTCATCCTCACCTTATGCTCCCCCAGGGCCTTGATGTTGGTGAGCATCAGACCCATCGATTCCTGAGCCGTCAAAACTTTCCCCCCCTCCCCGACCCTCAGCCCGGCCATACCCCCTTCCCCCTCTTCCAGCACGCCTCCTCCCAGAGCCCCGGCGGACGCAGACGCGGCGATCGCCTGCGATTCCGGCCCGAGAAATGGAAGGCCCAGCAGCGGCTGCACCCCTAGCATTGTCGTCGACGCTGACTGCGAACAGACGTCAGGGGGGAGGTAGAGGGGGGGGGTAAGGATGAGGAGATGACGTCTAGCACTGATCAGGTGTGGCCTGACTAGAAGGTATGTGCTTAGGGTAGGACTTGCAGGGTACTTGCTTGGCTTGGGCTGCGAGCTAGCACGTCCGACGTGGCGCGATCAGGCAGCGACAAAGCCTGGGTTTGGAAGACACCGGTGTAATGCGTGTGGAGGGCGGATGCATGTCGGTGGTCGCGGGACCCCCAAGCTCCAGGTGAAGAGAGAGAGAGAGAGAGCGCGCGCGGAGGCGGTCTCGTTTGCTAGGGACTCTCCTGCTCAGCTTACAGCAAGGGGGTGTCCTCAGGCCGGGAGCAACCACGGCTCAAAATCAACCCAAACAGCAAACCCCAGTGTGCACCCTTAAGCCTAATGATGGCATGATGACGTGCGGCGGTGAGCGACCAACAGACACGAGATGTTTATTACAAGGTTGTGGGTGACACATTCTTCGACGCACCCGAATCCGTGCGCCTCTCACAATCACAGTCACACACACACACTTGCGTCTGTCTTATTATTGTTCGGCCGGACAGCGCGGTCGATGCCAGCAACACACACACACACACACACACAGAGAAAAGTGCTGCTCTGCACCTCAAATCTTTGCGCCCTGGCAATGCTCCCGACGATGGGGTCTCCCCCTCCCTTGAAGGCCACGCACGCAGGCGTCCACCGGCTTCCCTCGCGGTTCTCGACCACCTTTGCGGAGGCGCACGGGCGGCATTGCACAGGAGGGGGGCAGGGAGCGTCAACAGATGCAGTCGACGACCGCATGGTCCTATTGTAGGTGTCGAGGGCGGGCATATATCATATATCACGCAGGAGGACAAAAAAAAAGCACCAAAGTAAGTGGTAGTGGTTTCATTGCCTCCATCGCGCCTTTGGACGATCTCTCGGCTCCATCACGAGCTAGCTAGGCTTGCGTCCCCATCCGACGCCATCGCTTTCCCTCATATACGCACAGGTCAACACCGCAGAGCTTGAAGGCTGCGTGTCTCGGTGTCGCATCGCACAGCGCTCTCGTGGGCCGAGATCAGTCCATTGTCGTATCCGTAGCAACCCAAGCCTTCAGCTTGACTCGAAAGCTACAATTGCATTGGAAGCGCCATAAAACCAACAACGCCCCCCTAGTTTCTACGATCCCATACAACACAACCCCTTGACCCCATCTCCAACCGTACGGTCTCCTCTTAGTGGCATGGACTCAACCTACATAAGTAGCCTTGAATCTCACGAGCCAATCAACAAGTCTCAAAAACAAACGCTAAACCACAGCACAAACCCCCCCGCTTCCCCCCCAGACCATTGGTAGCTATTACGAGGGTAAAGATGCGACGCTGATCCTGTACCTCCGCACAGAACTCGCCTACGGTTTGACCCCGCAGCAGATCGGTCGTCCAAGTCACATACGAGTCGGAGACGCGCTCTGAGCAAGACGGCGCCAAACCATTACCCACGCAGCTCGGCGTCTCTGGAAACACGAAGCCTCTTCTCTCACCTCCGGTCGCGTCTCAATCGAACTTGCGAACGCCAGCCGAAGATTGGTCACTCCCACGTCCAGCCCAAAGGCCGGCCCGTCCGACGGCACCCCATCTCCAGGTCCTGCGGCGCAATCACCGTGTAGCGTGTATAAGGTTAATACAGCAGCAACGGTATCGCAAGGTAGACACGCGTGTTTGTGTTCCTGTCCAGTAGTCTCCTCTCGGACTGCTTCGGAAGGAGGACCACCACTAATGTTCGCTGAAAAAAAGTACGGTCAAGGGCAGCGTAGTCGGATGGTACGGCAAACTCGGGGTGTACTGATTGCGCACAGTGCTAGCATAGAGGAAACAGATAAAGGCAATCCCGCCAGCGTCCAAGCCCTGCCCTCCACCTTCCTATTCCACGCTTGCACCTTGTTGGTGCTATACATGCGGAAAGCGATGGTTGGTGTGCCTGGACTAAGGCATGAACAAGTGCTTCCTTTGTCCGTGCCAGCTCTAAGTCGATCTTCCGCTTCCCAAGCCAAGTACTAGCGACGCTAGGACCTAGCAACAAGGCCCGCCAAGCGCTTCTAGCCTTTGGAAACGGCTGTGCACGAAGACACGGAACACAGCTGCGACGCGCATCGACGACAACGTGCACGCGCACGCACGAGCTGCAAAGTGACAGGGTGTACTCAAATCTCAACAGCCAACACATGCCGAACGGGCATACGCCACTTTGAAGCAAAATAAGCAAAGCACGAGGATTGCAATGATGATGGTACATCATATGCAAGAAGATGCGGCATAAAGTAGGCACACCGCAGCATCTTTGTTAGGACAAACGCGCGTGCTATTGTTGCGGAGGTATGCTCACCTCCGCCGCCCCCGCCCCCGCCCCCGCCTCCTCCGCCGCCCGACTTTTTCTCTTGCTCCTCCATTTCCTTCATCCGCTTCCCTTCAAGATTACAGTGAGAGACGTGGGCAAGAAGACGGTCAAGGGATGGCCCGCAGAAAAAGCTCCCACATAGTGTGGATGTACACAGCATGGGCCGGCCCATGAGCACGGACAACAGAAGGGAGACAAGAATGGGGTGTCCCGACAACGTCAATCGACCACGGCGAGACCAGTACACTGTGACGATGTGGCATCAACAGCTGGGTGTCCCGACAGAAACTACGTCCTGTCCCCTTAGGCTCGGCAGTCACCGAGTTCCCCCTTGGCATATTGCAGCCGCCACAACACCCTCTCTTTGGCAGAGAACAAAATTGGTCCTCAACGATCGACCAAAACACCAGCACCGTTCAACCCAAGCCTTTTCTTTCGTGCTCAATAAGCCCGTCTTGCGTGCTCAAACGACACGCGCAAGGCCCTTTTAATCCATCCGCCCCGCCAGCGTTCCAAAACAAAGCAGCAAGTATTCCACCACCCCCACCTGCTCTGATGAGGTATCGAAGCCCCGTGGCCACGGCAGCCACCGCGAGCGCCCCCCCGATAACGGGTAGCATTTCCTTCCGACCGGAAGGATGAATGTGCCGGCAACTGCCACCGCCGTCCAGCCCAAGCCCCGCCAGAGCCGTCGGCCTCCTCTTACTCCTTCGGGCGGTCGCTTCTCGTCGAAACGCCATGCCGACTCTACTCCCTGCGACTGATGCTTGGCGTAGAGCCATGGCTGCGGTACAACCTCGACGATATACTTAGCCCTCTGATACGACACGCGATGATAGCGGGGGAGTTGTGATCGATGGGGGGCAGCATTCAGAAACAACGCGGTGAAATCATGCCGCCGGGCGGATTCCGCGGAAAGCGCAGGTTTCAATCGAAGGGAAACCGTTTCTCCACAGTTCCAAGAAAACAGCAGCACATCCATGTAGCTGCAGCTCACAGCATGGTTTTTCGGGCAATCGCGAGTCAGGAGGGAGCATTTCACATTCGCTGTGAACTGGCTGTTCGAATCTGTCCTTATGTTTTCACACGCTGCTAAAGGGTCCTGGTCCCGGTTGCCCCGCCGCCGTCAGCCCTTTTCCACCGCGTGGAGCTGCTGTTGGGGCGTACTTTTTATGTTTTGCATGCCTTAGCGGTTAGACCATTGACCACGCGTCCTCGAGAGGACGGAGCATTGTTCCCACAGGACCGATCACCGATGGCCAATCGTTCCTTCCTACTTTGCCAAAGGTGGCTCAAAAATTTCTTCCCAAGTCTGTCTATCCTAACGATATCCCTTCCCGCCTTTTCAAACCACTTTCTACTCCCCAGTACTGCTACCGTCCTCTTCTCTCTATTCCATGCCTCAAACATCTCCCTGTACGTTCCTTGTATTTTTCCCAGCTAAGTCATGTACACTTCACTGTCCGTATTATACAGCCGACATTCCGCGACTACATGAACACGGTCTTCGCATTCGAAGCCGCAATCACATTTGAACTTGTCGTCTTCGTCGTCTACCGTCCTATGTCTTCGTCGACGTTCTCGAAGGCCTATGTCCCCGGTCCTGAATTTGACCTTAAGCTTTGTCCCTGCATCCATTGGTCCATGTAGGTAATCCTTGAACCCTATTCCTTCTTTCAACATTCCGTGCACTTCTAGACCCTCGTTATCCTTGGTTTCTTTCCTTAGATTCTGTTCTTCTCTCTCGGCACAAGCAACAGATATCTTCTCCTTGAACCCCTGTAGACCCTCTGTTTCCAGCGTTTCATCTTCGTCGATGTCTAACCCCTTCCATACGTCCTCTACAACCTTGACCTATTCCGTGGGTTGTCTACCCCTCTTGTTGTTTGCCCATTTCGCCTCCCATACTGTTCTCGGCAGCCTCTCCTCTCCCATCCCGCACATGCGATACTGCCATGTCAGCTTCCTTGCGTCTCTTCCCGACCGTAGGGATTGGATCCCCAATTCTGCCCTGACGGCTGCATTACTTGTGCCTTTGGAGCATCCTAGGATGATTTTTTGCTGCTTTCATCTGCGCCGCCTCGACTTCTTTCACTACCTTCTTATTTGCTTCCCATACTTGTCCGGCGTACTCTAGCGGCGGTACGATTACGCTCTTCAAAAACCACCAATTTGATGCGTGTATCGAGGTGCCGGTTTGCGAGTATTGGGTGCAGCTTCCCTGCTCGTGGTTTACCCTTTTCCGCTGCCTTGGACATGTGTGCATTCCACGAGCAGTCTTTTGCGATATCTTCTCCGGGGTATGTGTGCTGGTCCACTACTGCAATCTCCTCGATCCCCCACTTCCATCTATGTTCTACTGGTTCCTCCCTGACCTCGTTGCACACCATGACAGCACTCTTTTAACGTTGGCAGACAATCTCCAGAGCTGCTGTCGGGGGGATAACAAAAGACGGATAACTTGTCCACGTTTTTGAATGTGTAGACGATGAAGACGACCAACGTCGATTAATTGCATGTCGGTGATCGTGCTGCCATCTGCTGCACGTCTCCACCTACGCCTTGTCCTGCGGCTGATTGTGCTGCTGTGGTTCGCGTTGTGCGGATGCCAGACCACACAAAAACAAAAGCGGTCATCTCGAAAGAGATATCTAGAGTGCACAACTACCGTGGATAGACAACGAAGGGGAACAATGGCGCAACATATCAGAAACCCCATGCTATCGATATCTCCTGCTCATGTTCATTGTTGCGATGGACGTCACGCAAACACGGCGGTATCTGCTGCGTGCGGTGTGTAGACTACTCTGGCCAAGTGTCAGGGAGTCTCAGGGACAGAAAATACAAAAAGGCGGCAACCAAAATACACTGTCATCTCCATGCATACGCCTCACGGCATGCGTTTCTCGCACCTTACGTTGGCCAAAAACTTATCCAAGGCTAGTGGAAGCTCTCGAGATGTGTGTGAGAGTCAGTGCCTCGCGCTGAAGACTGGAGGATCCTGGTCGGAGTCGTCAGCAGTCAGCAGCGGCAGAAGGGGGCTCGCAGATTGGACAATATGGAGTTCGAACTTGCCGCATTGGCGTTTTGTATTGGTCGGCGGCGCCGCAACCGAGAAGAGGAACTCTGCACACCTCGGGACTCGGGACTCGGGATCTCGGGATGCCGATATGCGGCGGGTCTCCTATCGAAGTATTCCCCGTTCGCCCGAGTCTAGAGCATTAAGAGAGGAGCGCGCAAGGTTCGCCGCCGCTCTTCCCGCGTTGACCACAACAATACTCTTCCTTCAACGGCAACAACGTCTCCGGGCCTGCTTCTACCCACTCCACCTGAAGCACACCAGGCACCACCGAGCACCACCTGCTACTAGCCACACCTGCCGCCCCCTGAACACCAGGATCATGTCGAACAAGCGAGTCAAGATCGATGTGGAGAGCAAGGTGTGCATGCGGCAGAGACTACGTTGAAAGAAATGATGGGTTCCTGTGTGCCACAGAGATCCTCCATGCCCACGCACCCCAGGGTGTGAGTGTTGTGTGGAGCGTGGGTTACGTGGCACACCTCGTGGCACACCTTGTTGTTGCAGTTGTAACGGGCCGTCACCTATTGTACATGCTGTACGCGTCGATGTACAGCAGCAGCAGTGTTGATCACCAAGGTCCATCCCCAACCCCAACAGCAGCAGTCGGTGGGATTCACAGCATTACGAAGGCCATGCAGACAAGCACAAGGCTCTCTCTGTGTCGTGAAGTGGTACGGCGGTGCGTAGTCGTGGCAAAGCTGTGGTTTCTGAGAATACAGAAAATGCGCATGATGCAGCAGCGGCGGTGTCGGCGCCCTCTGGTTGGCTACTGCCTCTATCTCCGGGGTAAAAGTATGTAGATAGAAACCCATCGCTAAACCCACAGAAGTGGTTGTGATGCACGTTTCACTATGAGCGGAGCAGCAGTACGGGATTGGACGTACTGCTGCATGTGTGCGTTTCCAAGAAGCATCCTCAATCTGCGCTGGTACAAGAACAGCAGAACCAACCGTGGATACACCAACGGGAACCATTCGCGGAACGCGCAACCCGTCCGTGTTTTGATAATATCCTCGTGTTGGCAGGATAATTTAGTTTCAATTACAAGGTCCACCTGCTGCAGCACATGTGGAGCCAGTCTTCCCACGTACCCATCGATCCCACCAGTAGCGCCGAAGGCGATTTGATACATGTACGTTTGTCCATTTCTCTCTGTGGTACCACATGCTTGCGGTCGACTCGGAGTTGGTAGCTGTCTGCCGAAACCGAACACCCGGTCGGTGTGTTTGTAGATGCAGATCTTTCGGCTTTGTACCGATGTCATGCCGATGAGCCGCGGATGAGTTGCTTTTGCCGTTGAGCGGGTCATTTGAACTCTGGAAAGATCGGAGTACAGCAGCTGGTACAACTTCTCAGATGTCCATAGTTCTGCCGCATGAATACAGCGGTGTACTCGTCAATTATCATGTACCGTTACCCTGGTAGCAGTGTCTTTTAGTATAGATGCAATCACGGAGAGAATGCCCGATCGAGATAATACCCCAGTGGATGTGTTGAAGGAAATCTTATTTGCAGTGAATGGGCAGGGAAGCCTGCTGGAACGGTGGGCTTGACGTTGATGAATCTGCGTAAGCCTCCACACTTTAACCTATGCCAACCGAACAAGGGCGGTGGCACACTTGCTGCTGCTGGGTTGGGTGTGACGTGTCGTGTGAAAACGCTTCCAACGACAAATAACTATTCCGGGGAAGCCACGATATGTGGTGCCTGGTATGAATGCTTGGATGGTGGTGAAAACTGTTCGTTTTCCGCCTGGTTTCATGCATGCGCACACATTATGATGTTTTCGTCGACTTCGCTGAGCTCACACGTGCACCGCCCTCTCGCCTTGAAGGCAGGGCGGTGATCTGGCGTTTCCCACACGCTTACTTTGAGCAACACCGGTGTTGCGTGACATAGGAAACATGCGTAAAGCAGAAAGAATCTCCGCCAATTCATTCTCACGTGCCGTGTGCTTGCTACATGTGCATACCCGTAGGTAACATGACGCAAGATATCAGTCCTCTTTCAAAGCTCTACAGCAGTAGTAGTTCTCCACAGCAGGGTAGAGTGGCGGTGCCGAAAATTGTGGCGTTGGAGCCATCTCATCTCGTCGAGAGTTTTCCGAAGACGTGTCGTTTGATGTAATGTATCCTGTTCGTCATGGAGTAATCGAGGTTTGAAAATAGGTCCAGGGGGTGTGCTATGTTACGTCACCAACGGTGCGTACGTGGCTCAGCGTGAGCTATCCGAGAATATCCATACAATCAAAAGACTATCTACAGTATACCCTTTCGAGATAATACCATAGTAGAAGGGAGATGTGTTGGAGTCTTTGCAGCGAGCTATGTTTTGTTCACACCACCCTATTCCCCTTCGTACATGTACTGGGTCTTTGCAAGTGAGCTATGTTTTGTTCACACCAACCCTATTCCCCGTCGTACATGTACTTGTTTCTTCTCGTTCGTCCAGGCGATCGACACCGTCCGGGTGCTGGCCGCGGACATCGTGCAGAAGTCCATGTCCGGCCACCCGGGCGCGCCCATGGGCTGCGCTCCCATGGCCCACGTGTTGTTCACCAAGGTGAGAATGTCCTCCACGCTATGATATGTATGGGGACAGCAGTGTCACGCGTAGCATGCCGGTACCCTTGGTCAGGTCTACGGACACCACCCACACGCAAGTCGACATGTTCCCTGTCTACGTTTGCCCTCGAGTTGTCCCCAACGCTGATATTGATCATGGCTTCCGTGTGGCGTCCCGTCTGACCCACCAACGAATCGCGTCAGTTCATGAACTTCTCGCCATCCAACCCGGACTGGCTGGGGCGAGACCGGTTCGTGCTGTCCAACGGGCACGCCTGCGCCCTGCAGTACATCATGCTGCACCTGTGCGGGTGAGAATTGTTGTTGTTGTTGTTGTTGTTGTCTTCACATTAGAGTGAAAGGGTTACAACTGCGAGGGAAGTTTTAACTCTTTCAAGTTTCCCCTTGAAACCCCCCACACCATTTGTTTTTGGCCAGCCGAGAGTTGATTTTATGCCAATTCCGAAGTTTTGTCAACCCCTGTGCTAGTTTCCCGTATTTCTTCTACCACGGTCTTCTGGCTCGCATGCTTGCTAGCTTTAACCGCTACTGGTGCGTGTTCGTCCCCATCTGTTGTGGTGTGCGATGTACACTAGAGCTTTTTTCTGGACCCATCTGATAGAATATATCTCTTTGTATTTTTCGCAGCCGGAAATGTTCCTGCTTTCTGACTCCGAGTGGTTTCGCTCGTCGAAAGCCACACCCAAAACAGCCCAGTCTCATCAGGGGCAAAAAACTTTTGTGATGATTAGTCCCCGTACATGCATGTTCTGACTATAACCTGTTGGCAATGACTGCACATTGTCATGAAGAAAAAGGCCCGGGGTCCCTCCAGGCTGGACTCCATATCAGAGAGCGTATACAACTTGCTTCAACATGTTGCCCCTTCGTTTTTTTTTTTCTTTCTGTTTTTCTCTAATCATCGTCTTCGTCGGAATACGGCCAGGTACGGCGTCACGATGGACGACCTGAAGAGCTTCAGGCAGCTGGACTCCCTGACCCCCGGCCACCCGGAGAATTTCGTCACCCCCGGGGTGGAGGTGTCCACGGGGCCCCTCGGACAGGGCATTTCCAACGCCGTCGGGATGGCCATCGCCGAGAGGCACCTCGCAGCCACCTTCAACAAGCCCGATTTCCAGGTACTATTGAAACACTCGAAGCGTTTGCAGATACGTTCGGCAGCTTGAGGCGGTGCCGTTGCGTATGAAAAGCAAAGATCCGAAGGATGGGTTGTTGAGGACGGAGCCTTTGTTTTTTCCTCACCTCTCGTGCTTCTCTTGTTGGTTGCTGTAGTCGTTATCGGCGTCGCATCGTTTCTGTGGTATTCTATGTGTCCTTGCTCTACGCGACGTCGGAGGACTGCTATTACATGGTAAAAAGCACCACCATATGGTAAACCGTTCGATTTGTGGCGTTGTTGAAAGTTGTGCGGTAAGTGTTGTCCGGTGGGGGCGGTGGGGAAAGGCCTTTTGGCTACACCGACCGTGTTCTCGCTTCACACTGCCCTCGTGGACGACGGATGTGCCACCGTACCAGCGCGCGAGACAAGCATTTGCGATTGTCTAGTTCTCGTGTACCATGTGTTTATACCACGCTGCCTTTCAACGTAGCCCTGCTGTAAATAAGATTATGCTCTCTCTCTCTCTCTCTCTCAACGTTGCTGCTGCTTGTGCCGCATCTGTGGCATCACACGCCAACCTTTCACGACGGAACACCAGGTGGTGGACAACTACACCTACGTGATCTGCGGCGACGGGTGCCTTCAGGAGGGAGTCTCCTCGGAGGCGTGTTCGCTGGGGGGACACCTGGGCCTGGGCAGGCTCATCGTGCTCTACGATGACAACTCGGTGCGTTCGTCGTAGGCGATGTTTTTTTTTTTTATTCTCAACAACAGGCGCGGATTTATGGTTTGCGGTTTTATTTTTGTGCTTGGGAAAAGAAAGAAGCGAAAGCCGTGCGCTCGAGAGAGGCACCTGGGTAGAAATGGCAAGAAATGTCGGGGTTCCGCAGTTTTGTTTTGTTGCAACACCTATGCCGGTGCCTTTCGCTCGTCGTGGTCATGCACGTGTTGGGTTGCGAAGCCGCACTCTTTTTCCAGTCGTCGTAGGGAGATTCCCGCCACAGTCCCAATTTACCCCGCCCTCCCCCCCCCTCTTCCTCCCACCGCCTGGCGCTGCCATGGGCGCTGCCGCGGCACTGCGCTGCAGATCACCATCGACGGGGACACCGCGATTTCCTTCACGGAAGACGTCGTCAAGAGGTGAGTGAGGGCAGGTCTTTTGGTCCAACACATGTGCATGTGCGGTATCCTCTTGTCGTACATGGAACTGCAGACAGCATTACGATATGCCTTCGAAACTACATATGGCACCATTGGTGATTGGTGATGGAAACAGCACGCAGACCGCTGTTAGGAGGGGACGTGTTTGTGTTGGACGAAGAGCTTAGCGTTGTCGGCGCATGTTGAGAAAACGCAACGGTGGTCTGTTGCTCCGTTCTTGTTCCGCCGCTATCCACAGAGTAGCTTCCGAGTTAAATCGTCGTGGCAGTGAGAATGCTGTCGCTGTCATTTTTGCTGTGTGAACGTTGCTGGTGTTATCCACCTAGTGTGCCGTAAGAGGCGGAGAGATGGCATCCCCCCTAGACCGATTTTCGATGTCGATCGCTCCACAACCATTATTGTACCGTACCGTATACCGTACCGTGGTATTCCGTAAGAGGCGGAGGGATGGCATACTCCTAGACCGATTTTCAATGTCGATCGCTCCACAACCAAGGGGGTGCGGAAAGAGCCAGATACGTCGATGGAAAGCCCTCAACGAGATGTTTCCAAGCCACAGTTTTTGTTGTTGGAACAATGTTGGTTGTGTGGAGTATTCGAGCTGTGAAAGCCTGTCTACATGGGGTGCCATCTCTCCGCCTCTTGCGGTAGTTGGCGTAGGTTGCCGGTGTTTTCCGCCTAGTGTAGTTGCTGGCGCTGGTGCTGTGGGTGACGCTGCGGCTTGTATGCCCTGCTGCTGCCTCTGCTGTGCAGGTTCGAGGCGTACGGGTGGCACACCCAGGTGGTCGCGGACGGCACCAACACGGCGGCCATCATGGAGGCCGTGGAAAACGCTAAGCAGGAGACGGGGAGACCCTCCATCATCAAGACCAAGACCATCATCGGCCACGGCAGCAAGAAGCAGGTAGGTATTTCGTTGCCCCTGCCGCCTCGTCAGAGTAGAGGTCTTGGGACACCCGTTTGCAAAATGAAAACCTCCGTAATGGAAAAAAACATCAAGGTCGTTTTTGTTTCGTGACTTGATGTTTTCATGTATACTTTTGTAGCCCATCACAACGTTTGGCACCACACAGCAGTAGTCGGTGTCGATTGTGCGTGATGGGAATCATGAACAAGTTTAATCTCGTCCGAAAACAACGGTGTCTCGTCCGAATACCAAGGCGTTGTGCTGACTCCCGAGTGATTGAACTGCTGTCGGTGCGAAACAGGGGCTGGAGACGACGCACGGAGCCCCCCTGGGAGCGGATGATGTCGCCCACGTCAAGACCACGTGAGTTTCGTTGAAAATGGGCTTCGGAACCGACGGTCCGCCACGCGGGGCGGATTCTGGAGTTGTTCGGGTCATGCAGGAAACGATCGCTTGTCCGTAAAACATGTATGGTGGCTGCCGGAACGAGGGGAAATGGCACGGGAGTGTCCCGTCCTCTATTGCTTTTTGACAGGAAAGGAAGGGAGAAAGAGCGTTTTTTGTCTTGGTGGTGTTTGTTCTTAGCATGGAGCCCACACGGCCGTGCCTCGGCTCCCTAGTGATGCGCAGACAAACTCTACATCAGACGACAAGTGCTGGCCAGCAACGATTTCTACGCCTCCCCACCCCACCACGGCCTTCAATCCCCCCCCGCCCCCCTCATTCAAAATTTAGGTTCGGTTTTGATCCTTCCGAGAGCTTTGTCGTTCCGGAGGAAGTGAGCAAGTTCTACGCGGGGTTGCAGGAAGAGAGCGCCAAGAAGGAGAAGGAGTACGACGTGCTCTTCGCCGCCTACGAGGTGGGACTGGGTTTCGTATTGAGTAGCATTTTTTGTCTCCACCGTCTCTGTGGTGGGATTAGGTTTCGTAAAAGAGTAGTGGCTTTTCTCTTCGCCGCCTACGAGATGGGATAGAGCAGGTGGGAATGAGTTTCGTATAGAGTAGTGTCTTCTCTTTTGTGTCCTTTGCCGAGGTGTATTGACAGATTGCACTTCAATGTTGCTTCGAGTGCGCCGAACAGCAGCAGCGTGTGTTCGGGTAAATTTACACTTTTCCCGACACATGGCGCCAATCTTAGCTCGGTCTACGTCGGCTTTGCCAACCATCACCCTTTCTTTGCCCCCCCCCCCCCACCCCCAAAATCCCAAAACCCCTTATTTTAAAAGGAAAT